TGTATATGTATATATATATGCATATGATTTTATTTATTGAATGTATTCAAGCAGATTACTTCAAAATAGTCACAAATGCTGAATTATACTTGAGAAGTTGAGAATCCAGTAGTTGTTCAGTCCCCAGGACTGACTGTCTTAGCAGTTCCAATCTGTGCTGAAAACTTGGAGGGATCCGGTAAAGGGCTGTTAGTCCTTAGTCGAGGATGGAAACCTGGAAGTGCCAATTCTGGTGTCACCAAAGGAGACAGCAGCAGCAGTGACAGGAAACATTAAATCCATAGCATGTGGGAAGGCCTTGCAATTTGCCCAGCTTTTATACCCTTAGCTCCTCCCCTGCAAGTGGCTATGGTCAACCAATTGGCTGGAAGAGGGAAGGGGAGTGGCTTCTTTGTAGAGCTTGGGAATGAGGCAGGTCCGTGGCTTGTCATCACAGGGTCAGAGGAACATCTTCTGGGTCACACTCTCCACCCCTTCCTCTGGCTCTCACAAGCTTTCCGCTCACCTCTTCCACAAATATCCCTGAGCCTCAGAGGGGGTGGGGCGACCTTTCTCCCATTGTAATAGGGCACTGGACTCGTCAAGTCTCTGCACCCTCTGTTTGTCATGGGCTGATGGTTCAATTTAGTGGGGATTCCACCTACTATAAAAACACAAAGAGCAAGAAGCAAGAACATGTAAACAGTAACTGCAATAATAGCTCCTGGGCATAAACACAAATGCTTGGATGGTACTTTAGTAGGGGCATCACATCCATCTAACAATACAATTGCAGTGGCTTCTCCACTGGGGCCTATAACCGCTCCTGCCACAGGGGGTTGGCCTGGTCTCCAATACCAGATGTGTATTCCATCCCTAGAAGCCGGCATTAGGTCCAATTGATAATTGGCTGATTGTACATACACTAGACGAGCCACTATTGCACCAGAGGAATATCTTGCTTTGCATGTTGATAGTGCAGCAGTGGGGTCCTTTGGTGAACAGGATAATGGGGGACAATTCTACCCCAGCCATCTGCATAGTGCCTTCTGGCACTATGAAAGCCACCCATCAAGTGGCAGGGAGTTTCCAGCTTAATCCAAACTTGATTTCTCCCTCTCCCATGCTCACATCATGTGGAGTCTTCAGCAATAGGGTCTTACCATCCACTTCAGGTGTCCAACCAACATTATTGGGAACTGTCTTTATAGTTTTAGGGACCCCTGGGGTCCCTTTGGCCAACTGCTCATAGGGAGGCAAACTTATGGCTTCTGGAAGGGCCTTTTTCCACTCCTGTAGTATTCCTTCTGGGATTAAAGCTTTTGACTGTTCCTTTAGCAACCTGTTTTTTCTTTCAACTAACCCTGCTCCTGTAGGATGATACAGAAAGTGGAAATACTATTGAACCTGATCCTCAGCCCAAGCTTGCATACCTGTGAAATGAGTGCCTCTGTCACTATTGATTCGCCTCAGATACCCATACATGACACTGAGTCCAGTAAGCCCTTTAATAGTAGCTTTGTCCGTCACTCTCTTGCAAGGAAAGGCCTGTGTAAGGCCTGTGGCAGTGTCCACACAAATGAGAGAATATTTACACACCTCACTGACTGGCAGGGGCCCTATGTAATCTATTTGCCAGTCTCTCAGGGGAACCTACCTTGTGCACGTGTCCCATCATGGCATCCATCTTCCAGGGCCATAACCGGGAAAACGCCTCACAGGCCTGGACAGACTGTTGGATGTCATCATATTTTACCAGAATGTCATCTGCTTTGGCTATTCTCCATCCCATGTTGGCTCCTCTGTGGCCCGACTTGATATGAATCCAGCGAACTGCTTCTAGGGGAACCTGAAGGCAGATATCCCTCACCTTGATGAGGGCATCTGCTTCCTGATTCCCGGGGGGACTCATCAGGTGGTGGGCAGCCACATGATAAACTACCGGGGGCACTAGCTCCTCTGCATTTTATTATATATGTCCTTCCACACTTGTCCCCATAGGGGCTGTCCCATCACCTGCCAGTTTTCTTTTTCCCACTGAACCATCCATAAGGTTAAACCCATGAACACACCCCAACTGTCAGCACAAATTGTAACTGACCAAGGCTCCCTCATTATTACTATCCATACAGCTCTCAATTCAGCCCATTGACTGCTTTCTCCTTCTCCCCTCTCTAACCATATAGTGTCAGTGTTCATCTGTATTGCCACTGCTACACATTCTTGTCTGGCACCCCTACTAGTGCTGTCAGTATACCAGGCATCAGCCAGAATTGCAGGGGCCCTTTCTAGCACTTGGTTAGGTCTTGCTGGAGGGTCAACTATAGGAGGTGAAGGGAGAGGCTCTGTGCCTTGAAATGACAGCAGTCCTAGTACTGCCTGCATGGCAATGGTGATTGGGCTTGCTGACACCACCCCTTGCTGTTGCAAATATTCATGCCATCTTTGCAGCATTTGGTTTTGGGCCACCCGTGACATGGCTTGGCTACCAGGCCCTCCACCCATCCTTTTATGGGATATGTGGTTTTTACAGTAATTGGGGTGGGGCCCATAATGGACTCTACCTGTTGCAATGCTTTGTACACAGCCAGCAGTTGCTGTTCTAAAGCTGTGTACCAGGACTCCACCCCTTTCCATGATTGGGACCAGAACCCAATTCAGACTGTCTGTTCGGGTTGTTGCTGCCCCAAGCCCTACCCATAACCTTCAGGGCTCCTGGTGATTTCCGAGTTGAAGGGACACCGAGGTATTTGGGCACACAGCTTCTTAACTTGCCCAACCAGTATCTTGGCCTGTTCAAAAGCCTTTTGGGCCTTTACATCCCAATCCCACACAACACCTGAGCAAGGTGAGTTATAAAAATTTGCCAATACCCGAGAAGTTCCCAAAATATCTGCAACTGCTTAGCATTTATTGGTATGGGGTGTTCTAAGATTTTCTCAACTGCCACATTGGGTATCATGAAAGTTCTGTCTGACCATAGAACTCCTAAGAATTTTACCACTGTGCCAGTCCCTTGTACATTCTGTGGGTTAATTTCCCATCCTCGCTCCTTCAGGTTCACTTGCACATTCCCCAAATGAGCTTCCAAATCTGTAAGGCACTCAGAAGTTAGCATTATGTCATCTATGTAGTGGAACCTCCTTACAGAAAGAGGGCAGGGTAACAAGGCCAGATCCTGGGCCATCAATCCATGACAAACCATGGGGCTGTGTCAGTAACCTTGAGGATGTACTCTGAAAGTCCATTGTCATCCATTCCACATGAATGCAAATTGATCTTAGGATTCAGCTGCTAGGGGAATACTAAAGAATGCATTAGCAAGGTCCACTGGAGCATGGAAGGACCCCATTTCCTGTACCAGCTGATGAGTTAGCAGTGCAATGTAGGGCACTGTTGCATGAATGGGAGGCACCATCTTGTTTAACTCCCGGTAATCTACAGTCATTCTCCTAGAGCCATCTGGCTTCCTGATAGGCCAGACAAGGCTATTGAAAGGGCTCTGGGCTGGGCAGATAACTTCTACTTGCTCAAGTTCCTGGATGGTTTCAGTAATTACATCTCAACCCCCAGGCAGCTGGTACTTTAATATTCACCACCCTCCATGGGGTGGGAAATTTGGCTCCCATCTTGTCCACCCCTGAGTAATCACCTTTACTCTTCACACCCTCAGCAGAAACTGTCCCACAGTAGTATGTAGGGTGTGACCCAGCAGGGCATCCACCCCTAAAATGTTCTCTTTTATTAGGATAAACACCTTGTATTCTTGAGGGGGGGGTAATTGCCCACTCCCAAAATGAGTCCAATCTGCTTTACTTATATGGTTTTATCCCCATACTCATCCAATGCTATCCACTGGCCCTGATGTTTTTGGGGATTGCCATGAGTTAATGTACACTCTGCCCCAGTATCCACTAGGGCCCATGTGTTTTGTATATTAGTGGGGGACCAATAAATCCTCAGTTTGACATGTGGCCTCTAATATCCAGTATGGCCCTCACTTGTGGGCAACTTTGGCCACCGCTTCAAGGCGGTGGTGGGGGGGTCCCATCCAATGAGAGTGTCTTCTTCTCGAGCATGGGGTGCTGTTGGGGTTACCCGCACCTCCTGGTCCCCCGTTTCTCTTACTTCTGTGGTGAATTTCTGGTTAGGTCTTAAAGCCCTCATCAACACAGCATTTGGCTGCCCATCTATCTTGTCCCTAGCAACTCCTGCTCTACACAGATCCACCCACATCTGTGCTTGGGAGACATGGAAGGTCCC